TCCAAGGTATGTACGTTAATAACCTAAGATCCCAGTCAATAAATTAAGTATTGCTTGTTTGTATTAGATCTACGAAAGTCTAACCAAGGAAGGTTATACCCACTACACTACCATGGATGTAACCAATGTACAATAAACTCAAGGTAGGGCAGAACTACCATATGATTTTAATTTTTTTATTTTTCTGGCTTAATATATCAACTTCATTTGTCTATTTGTGTGTAATTTTTTAATAATAAAAAATTGTTCAGAAAATATTCAAATGCATCGACAAAATTTACAGTTTTTGTCCCGAAATAAACCATAAGAGATACATAGAACAAGATTTTGAACAGAAAGTTTGACCTTTCATTCATTTTTCCCGGTTTGAAATTATTTATTCAAAATCAATGCAACAAGTTGTTTGCTTTTTTATTGTTTTGATAGTAATTCTGACATTACAAGCCAAACAGGTAGACCTCTATACTTGCAATTTTTTCAAAGTTAGCCTACCTTGTCTTCATTGTGCCATGGATGTAACTATAAGTGATGAGCTCTACCGTGAGATGATATCCAACTTTTTTTGCAAAAATACAAGAGCTTGACTTGCAGGACATGTAGTTTCAATGAGACGGTGTCACATGCCACACAGCACGCGTGGCAATGGTCTCGGAGAATATTTTACCATCTTGATCATGTGATGAAACGCCTTTAGACTATTTTTTGTTGGGCTTTGTTAAAACCTATGACTATAGAGACGATCCTACTACAATGGAAGAAAAACATTGAAGCATTTATTTGCGAGATATCGGTCCAATTTTTTGAAAGAGTATGTCAATGTTGGACTAAGCTGATGGACATTGAAGGCGCAGTCGCGGTCAAGATTTGTATGATATGTACTCGCCATCGCCGGAGCGTATTTTCAACAAAGGCTTCGCGGACCAAAGTTTTTCTAAATTTGATGCTGTTTTATGTAGCCGGCCTTGGGATTTTCTCCTCTTGGAGAACGTTTTTCTAAATTTTATGCTTTTGCCGGCCTTGGGATTTTCTCCTCTGGGTATGTCCAACAGCGGATACGAAACCAATTTTTTCTATATTTGATACATTTTAAGGTAGACGGCCTTCGGTCGGATCTTGAGTGTTTCCCCACGGAGTATGTCCAACACCGGCGACGAAATGTTAAGTTTTTTTATACTAAAAACATCATCCGAATGTATTGAACAGTATCGGGTCTACCGCATTCACAGAGCTATAATTCTGGATCCAGGATTGATAATTACGATATTGTAGAATTTTGGAAAGATTGTAGTGTTAACTATAAAACCAACTGGGAAATAATTCTAATTTAGTAGAATTTTCGATTTTTTATCCAGAGGTAGGTATTTTTACCCTGACGGGTAAACGGACCCGGGACCCCAAATGTTTGACCCGAAATTCCGCGTTCAAGACACGGGCTAAAAAAACTAAACTTTAGTTCGTGTAGCCGGTTGAACATACTCAGAAGAGTATATCTCTGGACCCAGAAAAGGTATTAGCACAAGTTTTGGCATTTTGAAAAGGTAAGAGTGTCAGCTATAATTTGGCATCAATTTTGTGTGACCTCCAAATAGGCTTTTTTCGACTTTTTTTGGGGTTAAAAAAAATCCATGTCCAAAAACTCGATAATTTGACTATAACTTCCGGGCTAACTCTAGTTAAATAAAACCTCTTCCATTTTTTCCAGTAGTAGGTATTTTTACCCTGATACCGGGAAACTATTTTTTTTTTCTTGGGGGACGGACCCGGGACCACAGACTTTTGACCCGAAAGTCCGAGTTCAAGACCCGGCCGTTTACGTTTATAAATAACCCCATCATGTGACCACTTGTTGGATAAGAACACTACTACTGGAAAAAATGTCAAAAAAATTGAATAGTTTTTAATAAACTAGAGTTAAGGCCCAACTAGTTTTTTTTTTATTTGTTTTCTTGCTTTATCAAATTTTAATAACATAAAATCACTAAATTGACAGCACTGAAGCGATTGTCAAATTGCAATTAGATCTTTTTTTTTTGATGGTGTTTCGATTCAAGAGGGTTGAGAAAGAGAGTTAACTTTGCCAGTGTTAAACGATGACCATATTGTTTGACTCAAGAACAAGACGAAAAAACAAAGGCAACAACAACGGCACAACAAAACAGAACAGCATTTTGCATTTTTTTTTTTTATAAATTGCCAGAGTTGGCTCTTCAGTTTTCATGTTTTTTGTTTGGTTTCTTTTTTTTCGCCAAGCCATTGCACAGGAAGTAATTGTAAAGTGGTACCTTGGATTGTGGGGAGAACAATGACAGACACAACGCACACACACAAACTACGTACAAATAAAAAACCCGAGATAAGGAATAAAACAAAATAAACAGCTGGCTCTTTTTGTTTTTTTTCTTAAGCGGAGACAAAAAAAAACCAACAATATTTTATTGTTGTAAAATAAAATCGGAGAGTGAGAGAAGTAAACTATTTGCTAAACATCAAAAGCCGCTTACAATGAATAATTATTGTTGTTCTTTTTTGTAGCGTTTTCTTTTTCATTATTTCAGCACAAAAACCGACAGCATTGTATTTGCATGTTTTTTGTTTTGGTTGTGAGTAACCCCTTCCTTCCTTCTATAAACAACCAAATACATCATCATCTTGTTGCGTTCACTCGAGATGGCCTTTCGCGCTCATCTCAACCCGCTAGCTACAACACAAAGCAAAAGCTGCTGGGAAACGAGATGATGTGATGGAATTTCTTTACACATGAATATGGATGGGGGCGACGGACGACAAACATTTAATACTACTGGCCGACTTATCTTTTTGAATGCCAACAAGAGTGCCGAGTGTCGGTTGCATTTGCCAGTGCATTCAAATGCCGTATTCTAATTTGTTTCTTCACTTCACCGAAAAAAACACTAACCAAACAGAAAGAAAAATCCAATTGGATTTATTTTTCTAGGTGGAAAAACACTTGTTTTATTCTCCTCTCCCCACTTCAGACTATTAAATCTTTTTTTTCTTTGAAATCCAGAAAATGTCAATTGATCTTTTAACAGAAAACATCAGACACCACACAATTCGAGTTTTGCATCAAAAATAATACGCTTGCACCGTTTTGTTTTATTTGCCAGTAACAACAACAGTCCAATTAAGAGGAGATTTCCCCAAAAAGGCAAAGAGTCCATTTTATTAAAACAGTATTATTCATTGGCACATCAATATCTTATTGTTTAATGTTTTTTTTTTATTTTTAATATTTTTTATGGTCACTTACAAATTGTATTTCATCCGACGCCATTTTGAACGTGTCTTCTGATTCTGGTTTTTTACTACTCACTAACACTACTTCTTCGTTTTCCATGCAAAGAATTATAAGATGATAGATGATAAAAACAACACAGAATGTTGTGGAATGGAGAAAATGTCATAAGGCTCTTCTTCTAGCACACGGATAACAGTGAATGGATAGCAAAATAGAGTTCTAATCACTGTGAATTGAGTTCCAGTATGGAGTATAATTTATAGTTGGTAATACCATATAGTGAGTTTGAAAAATGTTGGTGTGGTAATGATACTGAGCTCCTTCTGCTGTCAGAATCAGTTAAAATGACGAATCTTCGTAAAAAGCCTAAAATAGAGATGGGTGTAAAGAATACTTTAAGCTCAGAAAGTAAATAAGGTTCAATTTTGTATGTACTTTTACTTATTTGAGTTGTTTACCTTTTCAAAATAATATACGCAAGTTATATAACGATACGTTCAGACTAATACCAAGTTCAAACTTTTGTCAACGGTTAACAAAGTCAGCAGAGAACCATATCAAGTCAACGTCTGTATAATAAAAAATATATTTTTGAGCGGGTTCCTCTCGATAAATTTCAATACTTAAAAATTTATTACAAAAATCTGAAAGCATGAATGAAAAGTATTTTTGATTTATATAATCATGGCAAAATTTGATTGACAACATTGAAAGAAAAAAATTAAAAACGTTTTCTTTGCTCCAGAACCTGCAAAAATCTACTAGTTTTGTAACTTTGTTCGATATCACAAAGGAAAAATTGCGTTTCGTAGTAAAAACTTTTACAGTCATTTGTGTTCTGAAACAGACCATTATATTTCCTTTTTCGAAACGCTTGCATTTTGTTATATGCTCTTACAGTAAAAAATTATTGAAAAAGTACGGGGACAAAAATGTAGCAACATTGAGAAAAACCCTAAAACTCATTGCTCTTTCCAGAACTGCAAGAGTGAAAAACTTTTAACTACAAAATCAATCTTTATGATATCGAAAAAAATTGGTTTGGAACAGTGAAAATAAAATAAAAAATCTAAAAATGTTTCCTTGAAACTGTTACATTCGTGCAGTTCAGGTACATATCATTTGCGTGTTTGCAGGTTTTTTTGATAATGAAAAATATACGCTCTCTTCTGGAACCGGCAAGAATCTATTAGTTTTTTTCGACATCATAAGGAGAAATCAGTTATAGTAGTAAAAACATTTACATTATTGTAATTCTGGAATAAATGGTGTGCAATGTCACATTTTTTTTTTTTTTGCATTTACTGTTTTTGAATATATTGGTAGACACATGGTCAAATAAGGAGGTAGAACAGAAACCTAAAACTATAAAAATATAGGCCTAAGGATATGTCCACTTCCTGTCAAACTTACTTAAAATTAGACGTAACAAGTTGTTTTCATTTATTAGATGTTTCTTCTCATTTTTAAAATGAGTTAAATATCGTGAAAGGCGAATGAAATGTTAAGGTTTTATCCCTTTACCAGTTTTATAAAATGAAACTCGAGTACAAGACAAATTTATACTGTGTAAACGCCCGATAGAGTCCTTTCATTATCTAGATCGTAGCTTATTTCAAATGACCACAGAAACATAGCATTCCAATTGACAAAAATCGATTGTTCGATTTACCATCTTGGTTTGCTATCGATTAATCGAATCGCCACAAATTAACCTACATATCCCTACTGCTTGTTGTTTATTGAAAAAAAAACGAGAAAAGCAGCAAAAAGACGTCGTCGTCGTTTTGCGGAAGATAAAAATTCATTACATTCAAACAAAAAAATCAAGAAGAAGAAGAATAAAAGAAAAAAAGCAAATAGCAATAGTGTTAGCAGCTAATTAAATAAAACAAAAAGCAACCACCACAAAACATTCCAAATCAGTGAAGAAGACGAAAAATGGCAATTCCAAAGCAAAGAGCAAGTGATTGTTGAAATTGAAAGTCCGAGAAGGAAAGGAAAAATAAAGAAAAAAAAGCCTGCAAATATTGAAATTCCTCTGTGCCGTGCCTTGGGCAATAACAAGAAATACAGGAAAAAATTGCAAAAAGTGGTTGTCTGTTGTGTCTTGTCTCTTTTGGCAAGTGTAAATGCTGTAAGAAGTTGTGCTGGCTGGCTTGCATGCAGCGGCAGCAGTGAATTGTGTTCAAAGAGGTGCTGGGAACCACAAAAAAGAATAATCAAGTCGCGAGAAGTTACGCAAATTCTGGCCAAGAAAAAAAAAATAAATTGCAAGCATTGTTTGGCATTAGCGAGGCAAAAGTGAAGTGTAATATTTAAAAAGAGAAACGAATAAAAAGAAGAGAAAAAAGTGTGTGTAATTTAAACCAGCGGCACCGAATCCATCCATCCATCCAACTCCAAGAGTATTTTGTAATTTTGCCCAGACCGAAACATCGCGTGCTGCGGCTTGCAAAGCCAGATCTAGTTGTGATTGTGTCGCGTGTGTTTGTCTGTTGGTTGGTTTGCTAGTGTGGGAATTATAACGTCGCCGCCATGAGCGATTCATCAGTGGGCAACAGTGCGGCTGGACCCCGGGTCGTTACGATCTATAAAACAGAAACGGGCTTCGGTTTCAATGTACGCGGTCAAGTCTCCGAGGGCGGTCAGCTGCGTTCCATAAATGGTGAGCTTTACGCCCCATTACAACATGTCAGTGCCGTTCTAGAAAATGGTGCTGCCGAAAAAGCGGGCATTAAAAAAGGCGATCGCATATTAGAAGTGTAAGTATTAACACATTTTGGGAAGGGACGATTTAAATTTTGCTTGAACTTTTCAGTGCATTGTGGGGGTGATGTTTGTGGGTTACCATTCCTTTTAAGAATAACCTACGTCATCGTATTGCCTGGCTGGTGTTCTTGTTCTTCTTCTGCTGCTGCTCCTGTCTGTGTCACCCGGCACATTTTATGTGTATGTGAACAGCCAGTTCTATTTAGCTTAGCTCCAATTACAATTGTTCCCAGCCAACAAGCCAGCCAGCCACTGTTGTGTCAAATGACCTGCTTTTTATGTCCAAAACTAAAATAAAATACCACCACCCTCCAATAACTCCCAGTTTTAATTGGGAATGGCTTGATGGGTGGTTGGGTGGCTGGCTGGGTGGTGTAGACAGTAATAGCTACCTCATTTTATATGGAACAATTTCAACCCTCTTGATTTGCTATACATCCAACAATGGCATAGCGCAAAAACGAAGCAACACCCAAAAGAAGAAAGCCTAATGTTATTTTTCAATTCAGTCCTATAGATAAGATCCAAACATTACGTCTTCTTTCCCCTATTTAGAGGAATATTGGAAGCTTGTTTCTATGTTTTTATTATTGGTGGCAATGGCAGCAGACTGGCGCGCGTCCTTACATCAAACCCAGCCTTATCAATTGAAAATTTACACATTCTAGGACATGGGGTTGCCATTTTTAGGATTCTTGTAAAAATATTTAAGATATTGCCAATATACTTAAAAAGAATTAAAGGAGAATGAAGTATTCTACATTTAGAAGATAGAACACAATTAAAGAATGCTTGATTCTCCTCTTGATGTCAGACCTGTAGGCAAAGTATGCACAGACTACATATGTTAGTCTTAAATGATAGCACTCTGAAAGGTCTTCTATATATGAAAAATCTTTAAAAATCTATTTTGTATTGAATATTTGAATTTTTGTATATAAATCTCTAAGGTTTTCTATCAGTGTATTTCCTCTGAAAGTTTGTTTTTTCATTCAATTAATATGGGGTATTGGAAATTTCTTCTAATGACTATTAACCTACCTTCCACTTTTAAGATATTCTGAAATCTTATCCGTTTTTTCATAGAAAATTTCTGTAGAATAAAATATTGTACTGCCATGGCAACACTTCCATTGTAACATAATCGCAACCTTCTTTCATTCTCTAGATCCAGTCATTCGTTCATATTCCTTTGTCAGCAGTTCTTTTATGTTTTATGCTGTGATTCATAATAACAGTGGGGCTCTACTTGTTTTGTTGTTGTTGCTATTGGATGGTAACTCATTGTCCATTCACATTGGGGGGACGACTATAACATCGGTTGTTTCTTTTCTTTCTTTTTAAGCGATAAACGTCGTTTGGGAACAGTTTTTTGTTTTAATTTTTTTCCTTATCGCTGCAGGTTAACATTTGTTGTGTGTGTTTGGTTTTAACAGCCGCTGCTATTCTCTCTCATGTTTTGTTTTTTGTTGGGGCCAAATTTGTGTGAGTGCACACTTTGCTCTATCTCTCTCTGTTAACATACTCAAACAGCTGTTTGTTTGGTGTGAGTAGTCAAAATGTGAGTGGGGGGGGAGGGGTTGGGTGGTGTTGGTTTTTTTTTATTGTGTGTTTCTATCATCATGAGTAGTGTGGTGTACCGTTGAGTGGTCAAAGCAAGTGTCATAGAGAGTTCGGGACAGAAAGAACAGAACATATGCATGTCGTAATTTACAACTTATTTGACTTTTGTTTTCATAAATTACTTAGCAATTCCCTGCTCTTGGCTTAGCTCTCTCTCTCTCTCTGTGTCTCTTGCCCGCTGTATGTTTATTACACCTCTGTTCTAATAATTTACATCACACAACTAATGTATAGTTTTTTGTGGAATATTTGCTGGCATTCCTTCCTATTTATGGAATAATACCATTGTTGTTTACATGGCAATCCTCCCCATTCTCCTCGTTAACCATTTAATGGAAGCACTACCAATGCTTGACCGACCGACCATATACAAAATAAATGATGTCATAAGGACTCATTAAAATGTATGATGAGGGATTGAATGTGTGAAACAATTTTTTTAAGTTTTCGCAATATTCTAAAGGAGAATATCCTTAGAAATCCCATTTGGAAAGTGACTGTACTATAGTTGAAAGGCCTCATATTTACAGAGGACCCATCAAAAGCGGCCTTTTCTGAAAAGAAACAAAATACTGTTTACAAGTCTTCCAAAATACTTTTTACAAGTCTTCAATGGACAGATTTTATGCTCGATTTTCTCATGGGTGCCCAGTCTATCATATGTTAATTGCAATCAAGTATGACACTTGTTATGAGATTTACATAGTGATCTATCTCAGAGACATAGGGTAAAGACAAACCTAACTTCGAAGTAGCTGACTCAAAAGTTTTTTCTTTTGCAGCTAATCTTCGTTGGATTCCTATGTGGTTCTTTATAAATTTGAATTCGGTGTTCAAATTTTTTAGACCCTATAGCAGAAAATTTTGGTTTTTTAAATACTTTAATTGCATTAATCAACCTATTTGGGACGCTTCGAATATTAAATCCTGATACTTTTATTTAAAAATGACAAATTTTTGCAATATGTATTATATTTTGTACTTAATAAGATCGAAGCAGATAAGCTGTTGCTTTTGTCATTTATTTCAGACGAACCCAATGCAGTCCTGACCCTCATCATGAGTTGCAATCTTGATGACGAAGCTGCTGGTCTCTGAACTTGGGCTTGCTAGCTGCCAGGTGTTTATCCTGGTGTGTGTGTTCTATCTTCTCAGTTTTTTCAGAATGTGTGCCGGTTGCAAAAGATGTGGGGCAACCACGTGAACAATAACTTCCCCAACTGCGTGTCTGGGATTATCTTCCTCCATGAAAACGGAGGCCGCCAGGCGCCATCGCCAGGGCCATCTGTAGGTTTCGAGGTTAAAGCCTTGTAGTTACCGTGTGATCTATGCATCCTTAAGATTCGAAAGGTCTTTGATGGTCATTCTGGTCTCTTTGGCGATTTCTTGATATCCTCCATAAACTGACCTGTCTTAAAAGGGATGTGTGATGAAGAGGGTTCATTCACCCTGCCTGTTTTATCAGCTTTTTGCTTCCCTGAGGTAACAACACCTGATTGTTACTTTAGAGCTATTTTTCAGGGAAAAAATACCCCATATATAGTCCTATAAAATATCTTATAAAAATAAGTTATTTTATAGGTCTACTTTATGTGGGGTACCTTTTACAAATTTAAACAATTACGTCTTTAGAGTCATTTTCAGAAATTCAATTTAAATACCGTATCTAAATTTCTTTATAGTTTCCATGGTTTAAAGATCTTTTAAAGCTTTGTATGATTGAGGTCTCACTTTTATTGCTATTGTATATATTGAAAACCTTTTATGGTTCTTTAGCCCTTCGAAAGATATCGCATTTATGTGCGGAGACATACCCAGCTGCAATTATCAAGTTTCTACTGTGTAGCATTTAAACCTGTGTTTGCGAATCGTAGCATTTACCATTTTTGGTTATGTTTTGACAGATGTCTTTTTGTGTTGTCTTTTTGTGTTTAAACATTTCGTTGTCGGACAACAACCTGAGCCATACCCAAAATAAATATTAAAATGCTATTATGAATCATCTAACGTCATTTGCTTAAAGCATTGATTTTCTTCTTATGTGGCTGGCGTTTGCTTGCTATACGCGTAACGGTAAAGGTGAATTCCTCCTCTCAAAAATAAAAGAATGTTATGGCATTCTTATGGAATTCCTACACGTTAAGCGGTGTGTGTGTGTGTGTGTAAAACACAAATCCTAAGGTAATATTTTAACATTTACAAAAAATTTGGTTACATTTTTAGTTGATTACATCTTGCCATGCCAGACACGTCGTCCCAACAGAGACTTCGACTTCCAAATACCAGCGCACATTGTTCGTATAACCTCTTAATATTAATGAAAAGATGACTGACTGCTCACCCACCACCGGCTCAATGGCTGGCGATGAATGAGCTTTTCATCTATTTTTAGCAAATAACATCTATTTGTAGATTTCTCTCTTTAGTCCGTGTGGGGCAGAGCTTACTGTGTTCGTTGTTGTTGTGATTTTTTTTTGTTTTGTTTGCAGCATGTTGAAGAGTTATTCTATGTCTAAAATTCAATTAACATTAATTTAATAAAAAAATTGTTGACCTTTTGTGTGGTTTGGGGTTTGAAGAGTTCGTCACAAATATGCCACGACCCCTTCCGGTCCTCCACCACCTCCTCCGGCTCGCCAAAAAAAAGTAACGAACAGTGCACACAAAAACCATCACCATTAGCGTCACTAAACTTGTGTTGCGGCGGTTTGGTCTTCATTCACTCAGGTCTGTGACAATGGCAGTCTAACCACCCAACGACCCAGCAGCCACCTTTGAAAACCGCAAATTGAACGAGTTTGTTATTTTTGTTTTTTTCTATTTTATTTCTTCACTCAGCATAATTTTGTCATAACAAAAGCCACAAACGTCAGTGAAGATAAAAATATAACATTTTCACAATATCGACAGGCTTACAAGACACAAAAAAAAAGAAAACAAATAAAGCTTCGGTTATAGGTTTATTTTTCCTTTACTTGTTATTCACCTTTAGTAAAGGGTTTACTTTTAAAAGAATGGGGGAAAGGCTTTCCGTGGGCAAGAGTATTTTATTAATATAAATTATAAAAAAAAAAAAAAATAAAGGCAGTATAATATTGAGATATGTAATTTTGACCAGTAAATTATGGAGAAATGCGGCTAAATACGCAAGAAAGAGGATCCACTATATTCAAATTCAAACATTTGGATAGCTAAACATTTACTGGCTACTTTAAACATTTATTTCGTCTAGATATAGGAGTACACATATTATTCTCTGAACCACATCCTTCCTGAACCATTAGCATTTTTTCTAAGCCTTTTAGAGATGGCTGTAATAAAAATAAACGATAAATAATAATTTTAATATCAAACAAAATTTATGTCCCAG